AAAAAAATACTAAGCAGGAAGTATCCGACAGTATATTTGTTTCTAAATGAGCTTTAGAGGAAAAGAGCTACATAGAGAACTGATAAATTCTTCTATTGTGTTTCTTTGCTTATCTTCCTGAAAAATAATTTAAGTGAAGTTTAATTATTCCGTATGATTATCTTCTCCAATTTAGAATAATCTCAACTAGTATAGTGTAGAAAAACAAATATATTCTTATTGCGGCAAATATGATTCCTCTGTTCTTTTTGGTTGTCTGTTTGGAGGGTTTAGCAGCGTTTCTTTTAGTTGTGAAAATTGGGCCATTAAGGGAACTGGTAATTAAGGGCTTAGATCAAGTGACAACGAGAAGGGCTACGGTTTTAACTATTGCTGGCACTATATTTGTTATCCTTTTGTCGAATTTGTTTAGTATACTCAAGATACAGAACAAGGGTGCCAAGCATGGTACAATGACACCTATGGATCAAGTTCTGTGGAGGACCAACTTGTTAGAGGCTACTTTAATGGGTATGTTTCAAATCATTTTTGTTTATCAAGGATGTTCGCATTTTTTTTCTTTTTCTTTTCGATGATGTGTGTATGAGTGAGTGTAACTAAGGGTGCGTTTGTTTATCAAATATTTCGCTCATAATGAGTTTTTTTGGTTAATCATAGTTAATTTTGAAAAATGTGTTATGGTTAGTGAATTAAAAGTTGATGCGATATGTAAAAATGATTGGTTTTTTATTATTTAATTATATGTAATGTTAAGGATAGTGTGGTTGAGTTAAAATTGAGTTATATTTTGAGTATGAAATAAATGTGAGTAATTAATTTGTAAACAAGCAAGCCCTAAATTCTTGTTTGTTGGTTGTATGTGAATGTGTATCTTTATAACTGTTTCTTCTGCCATTTGGATGTTGGCCTCCAATGCTATGAAAGCTATGTGTTGTTCCACTCTTTTATATTTCGGTTTGTAGGACGGTGCTGAAATAGTTTAGTATGGATTTGTATTTGAGTTGTTGACACCAATTAAACTTGGTGTCAAAAGCTAGAATGCTTCTATTCAATTGCTATGGTTTTAGTATAATTCTATTTTTGGTAAATGGTGTACCGGGTTATGTGCAATATTTTGTGTTCTTTAATCACAGAAAAGAATTATGTATGCCCCTAAAGGCAAGGTTATTTGGTTATGACAAAGAGTTCCAAGTCTTGGATGTCAATTGAAACCTTTGCAAATGAGAACACAAAATATGTTATGATGATGTCTATGGAGATTGATTCTGAATTCTAGGCGTATTTATGAAATTAATCAATCGCAATATCCAATTCCCATATTTTCATTGAATTGGGTCTGGTGCTGTTATTTGACATCATTGTCATTTTTGTTTGGGCTAAATATTTCGAAATGAAAAGTGGTAGTATACAAAAGGACTTCATATTTCTATCCTTACTTTTTTCTTGTTTCACTTACACTGATTTGCAAGGCCGTTTTTCTTTAAAAAACTACTCTCTTTCGAGATAATGAGTTGCAAAATGTACAGGAAGAAGATGAGGAAAACAAGGACTTTGTGATTTTGTTGATATTGTGAATATGTATGTTTCGATGATCGATTTTGCTATTCTAGTAAAATATCATTCTTCAATACAGTATCAGTATTAATCCACCACTTGTTTAATAGTGCTGCAAGAACCAATGGAATTATGAGACATTTGCCTTTCCTCTTTCTATATTTCATTTGATCTAATAAGGCTTAACCAGCCTTTGTGCTTGACAATAATTCCTATTTTATTTACGTAGTCAGCCCATCTGTAACTTATGGCAACTCCGTTCTATTTTATGCTGCAGGATTTTCTCTTTTTCTCGGCTTTTTAATCGAACGCATACACCATTACATGAAGAAGCTGATCATGATAAGGAGCAAAACAGGAGTCTCAAAGCAAGAATTTGAGAGGCTGGAGAAAGAGAAGTCGGAGCTCAAGGAGAAGGAAGAAAAGGCTGGTGTAGAAATTAAGCGACTGAAGAAGGAATTATCTTCTGCAACCGAGAATTTGAATAAGCTCAAGTTGGACTTAGCCAAAAAGGACAAGCAAGTGGAAACTGCTGAAGCTCATGTCTCTGCTCTTCAGAAACAAGCTGCGGATCTGCTTCTAGAATACGATCGACTATTGGAAGATAACCAAAATCTTCAGAACCTTGGATGTCGTTAGTTTAGATAAAAATATATTGGAGATTGGAACTCATTTTGTTGACAAATCATGGTGACAATAGATGAGAAGATAGCTCATCAACCACAAGACATGTTCATGATTTTTTGAAGTGTTCAGTTCCATTCTGAATGTTTTGGCAAGCATGGTTTCTTTGATACTGATTTGAGCTGTTTTCGGTTGTAAGTTTGTTGATTTGATAATCGTATGGGTCGTTGTGTGGGCGCTGCTCATGTGTTGTTTCATTAAGCCCGGTAGCCAATTTTAGATGCCATTGTAAGGTGTTTATGTGGGGATTGTATATAAAAAGTTTGGTTTTCTAATTTTTATTGATATGAAGTGAGTTAAGAGAGTTTGAAAAATTGATTGGTGGATGAATATAGAAACAACCCACAACAAAACAAACAAAAATAGATAAAGCTCTCAAAAAGGAGAATAAGAACCAAAAAAACAAGAAAAAAACATAATAGGCACATACTAAAACCCTCCCCCCAAGTTGTCAAGCCAATCCCAGGCAAACCAACACCCAAGAAGGATCAGCCAACGTCCCAAACACGGATCTAGAAACTCCCCTATCGAGTATCTAGATCCGAACCAAAAACCAAAAAACTCTAATTTTATTTTTCAGTTCTTGTCTACATTACACACATTTACATAATATTCTGAATCCAGTGCTACCAGTAGTCAGCGCATGAGCAGTTACCGTCCTTAAAATGATGAAACCGCTTGACGTCCCTCACCAGTATCTCCCTCTCGGCCACCACGCTCATAAACTTGATCGCCTCATGACAATCCCCACACACTCTGAGGTTCTTGGTAATTATCAATCTCATCCCCGGCCTCGTGCTCAGGATCCCGAAACCAATAGCTAACCTCTCACTATGATTCCGCAGCATCCGAACCTTCACATCGTCCCCTACATCATGCAACACAAACTCAGTCCTCGGGGCATAACCCAAATCCCTCATCTTAACCTCCATCTCTTCCAAAGTACCTATTATGCCCTTGTACCACGGGTGACTTGTATCGTCAGCAACAAAAGCATGCACCTTCCCTTTAACCTCAATCGCGCTGTACCCTGGGATTTTCTTCACCCCTCCCCTTTTCATCGCCTTCCTCACCATAGCAACCCCATCCCACCTTTTGGCCGTTGCGAAAAAATTTGACACCAGAGTGTAAATCCCGGGACAATCCGGTTTTAGTTCAAGAACCTTGTTCGCCACTATTTCCCCTATATCAAACTTCTTGTGGTTAATGCAACCTGAGAGGAGTGCCACACAGATGCTCATCTTGGGCCCACAGTCCATCAAACTAATTACATCGCGGGCCTCCTCGACTCGTCCTGATCGAGCCAAAACATCGATCAAGCTAACATAATGTTTTTCCATGGGCTGGATTTTGTACTCATTTATCATGGCATCAAACCACTTTCGGCCCTCATCCACCAAACCCGAATGACTCATTGCCGAGAGAAGGGATGCAAATGTCACGTGATCAGGTTTTGCACCCGTCTCCATCATCCGGTGGAAAATCGAGAGTGCCTTCTCTCCTTGCCCATGAATACCATTACTCGCAATCATTATATTCCACACTATAATATCCTTGGAGCTCATTTTTTCAAATAGTGTATTTGCAAGAGGCAATAGCCCGCATTTGGCGTACATGTCTATGATTGCAGTGCTCAATACATGATCTCGACTCACGTCAAATCTCCGGGCCGCGTATCCGTGTATTTCCCGGCCCATTAACAGGAACCCTAGTTGAGAACAAGCTAAAAGTGCACTCACGAGCGAAACCACATCAGGGTCAAAGCCGAGTGTCTTCATCTCATTAAACAACTCCAATGCCTTTCTCGCGTATCCATTTTTCGCATACCCTGAAATCAAAGTGCTCCAAGAAACAGCATTTTTGTGACTCATAGCCCGGAAAAGACTACACGCACCACCCATTTTCCCGTTCTTGGCATACATATCCATAAGACTAGTCTGCAACACAACATCCATTGGAATACATTTTCTAATCAAATAAGCATGCAAAGAATATGCCACTTTTGGGTCCTCAACATTTGCGCAAGCTTGTATAAGGGCCAAAATTACAACACCATCACCTTCCAATCCCTCTTCCCGCATTTTCCTGTAAAAGTCAATTGCCTCTTCTGCCATCCCACTTTTAGCAAATCCTGTGATCATGGTGCCCCACGAGACCACATCCCGTCTACTCATCTTATCAAATACACTCACGGCCTCACCCATTTTCCCGCACTTTGTGTACAAATTCAGGATGGATGACCCTACGAAAAGATCACTCCCATATCCGGATTCCACTGCATTTTCCCAGATTTTCTCGCCTGACTGCAGGTCCAAGGAGGTCGTGCAGGCTTTGATGGCCACCGTGAAAGTTGAGCTGTCGGGCTTGACTTTCTCCAAGAGCATCGACTGGTACATGTTTATGACTTGGCGCGGGTGATTCCCGCGTGAGTAGCCTATTAGAATCGCGTTCCAAGAGTCTATGCCTCTTTTTGGCAATGTGTCGAACAGCTTGCGCGCGAGGCTTATGTTGCCTGTTCGTACGTACGAGGCTATGAGTCGGGCAGAGGAAATTCCGCTGCAGAAAGCTCCTGTGGTGATCAAAAGGGCGTGGGTTTTGGAGATGGAGGCTATGTCTGTGCAGGTTGAGAGAATATGTTTGAGGTCTTTGTGAAACCATTTCTCCAAAAGCATTAAATTTTGTCGCACGGAATTATATGCAAAGCGGTTGGTAGGATTGAGTGGAGTAACAAAACGTAGATCGAAAAGAAGATCATAGTAAGTTAATAAAACCTACAACAACAATCGAAAAGAACTAAGCTAAGAAAACAAATCATAAGAAAATTCATTCCACTCCTTACAAGTTGTAGAAACAGTGTCAAACTCAGATCTCTTAACATTGCTAAAATTCCATAAATTGCGGGTCTTTCGAATCCACCATAAGATGTATGAGGATAACTGGATTCGAGCCTCAGAAGTGTCTCTCTACTTCAAACTGCATAACTTGGCCCTGTTGGGTTCTATAAGAAATAAATGTTTTCATGGTTGGATTCTTTTTCAGACAAAGCCATTTGAAGTGAATAAAATAGACCAGCAAAATGACCATTGTAATATGTTCACATAAGGTCATGTGGAACTTTACTTCTTTACATTATTTTTGGACAATGAAAAATGGTACATCGAACCACTGGATTATGTGCAGTGAAAAAATTTGTCCAACACAATGACAAGTGCAATGATTTCGGACAAGGCCATGTGAAACATTACCACTTTACATTATTTTTGGACAATAAGAAATGATACATCTAACCATTGGATTCTTTCTAAATAAGTCCATGTGAAGTGAACAAATTTGACCAACACAATGACAAATGCAATAATTTGAGACAAGGGCATGTGAAACATTATTATTTTTGGACAATGACAAATGGTAAATCTAAATTTGATTCTTTCTGGATAAGACCATGTGAAATGAACAAATTTGACCAACACAATGACAAGTGCAATAATTTCGGACAAGACCATGTGAAACATTATTACTTTACATTATTTTTGGACAATGACAAATGATATTCTAACCATTGGATTCTTTCCAAATAAGATCATGTGAAGTGAACAAATTTGACCAACACAATGACAAATGTAATAATTTCGGACAAGACCATGTGAAACATTATTACTTTATATTATTTTGAACAATGACAAATGGTACTTCTAAACCATTGAATTCTTTCCAGATAAAATCATGTGAAGTGAACAAATTTGACCAACACAATGACAAGTGCAATAATTTCGGACAAGACCATGTATTGTCATTATTACTTTACATTATTACTTTGCATTAAATTAGTTTCCATGAATTCTTTTGCATTGGATGACAAATGAATAAACAATTAATTTACATCGAATTATTTGCATTGGATTCTTTTTATTGTCACTATACTTGTTGTGCATGTGAGTTCGTTTCTCTATTTATAGATCACACTTCAAGAAGCGACCACACACATATCTCATTTTTTCTTCCATTATTGTAGTCTTCTTGTTCTCACTCTTCTTGAATATCTTATTTTCTTCAAAATGTCTTCTTCAAAAGGGCCAAAATACTCCAAACCAGAAGATGTCTTAATTTTTAGATGCTACATAAGTGTTTTACAAAATCCAATATTATCAAATGACCAAAGTTCTTCAACCTTTTGAAAAAAATTCATGATGACAACTCCCAAAAACACAAGGATTTACCAGAACGTTGTATAGGGTCTCTTGACTCTCGTTGTTGTCTCATGGAAACTCATTGTCGGAGGTTTAATGGATGCTTGAAGCAAATCCAATATTGCTATCCTAGTGGGACAACTCCAATATAGGGTGAGTATTTGGTTTTAAATTCAATCTCGGTTCATGTTATTTACTTGTTTTATAGGTATACTTACAATTATATATTTTTTACTTTGTAGATTGAGCAAGTCGAACGATTGTTTGAACACGACCAAAAATATAAAGATGGTTTCATGTTCCAACATGTGTTCCGACTATTCAAATAGTTCGGAAAATTTGATGATAATGTCTTCCAGCCACGATCTCGTCGCCGGGATTTCGATACACTCAACGAATCTTCAGAGTCGGACGTTCCATATGATGGACAACCAACACCAGAGTCTCCAGGATTGTCGTCTTTTAGTCCCCAACAAAGTGACGATAGTGTTGGTGGAACATCCTCTCAACGTCCACTGGGAGCGAAGAAAGCAAAATCGAAGAAGAAAAATAAGACCAAGTTTGTCAATATTTTAAAACTCTAAATGCTAAAATGGACACTATTTTTGATTTGTTGCAGAAAGCCGAATAACGTCAAGTGTCCAGCTTCAATTGCATGAACAACAACTTGATTTGCAGAAAAGGAGGGATGAAGATAGAATTTTGATGATAGATTTGAATTCTCTTATGAACCCCATGGTACGTCGGCATTGGGAACAAATACATATGCAAATTTTACAAGAAAGAGAAATTGTGCAACATCAATATCAAGCAACACCACCATCATTTAACACGTGTCAATTTGGATTTCTCGACGGCATTGAGCATGACAAGAAGAAATTTGGATGATTATAATGATGACAATTAAGTATACAAAATCATCTATTTTATAATCCTTTTTTCGTTTTTATTTTTATGTTCCATATTAATTATTGTTGTTGTAATATGTGTGAGCTTTAAGATTGGTTTTTTTTTTAGTTTATCTTTATGTTGTGATTTTAATTTTAGTGTTTGTACTTAAAATATAATTGTGTTGAATGTTTATCCTTATTTTGTAATTTTAACTTGTTTGTTTGAAATATTTATTTAAGTGAATTTAAGTACTAATTAATATTCTATCATATTAATTAATAAAAGTATTCAATTTTTCATTACACTACTTAAAATTATACCATATTAATTACAATAATTAAGTTTAAAACATTTATAAAAATATTTTAATTCAACTCATAAAACTAATTAATTAGCCCAATTGTAATTAAGAAAAATCCAACCACAATACACCTAAATAGGCCCAAAATACAATTCAATTTCATTTTTAACAAAAAAAAAAAAAAAGTAAAAAAAAAAAA